GGGCAGAGGAAAACACCTGGGATTATGGTTAAAGGAGAAAAATTTAAAAAATATTGCTACAAAAAATACCAATACAGGGTTGGGGCTATAGCTCTGTGGCAGAGAGCTTGCGTAGCACGCGTGAGGCACTGGATTCACTTCTCAACACCACATAAAAATAAACAAATAAAATAAAGGCATTCTGTAAATCAACAACTACAAAAAAATGTTTTAAAAAATACCAATACAAAAAAGTATTGCTATAGATAATCCTCTGAATAGATAATCCACACCGGGGAAATTTTTAAGTTGACTAAATGTTCATATTAATGGCATCTGCTTGTTATTATTTAGTTCTAAAGAACAGAGATTTCATTTGTATGAAATCAGGCAATCTCTAGTTTAGTGGAAGTGGATATTTCTTCCCCCAGGCCAATTCAGTCTCTAGGAACAGTGATCAAAAGTGTCAGCATTGGGAAATGGGAGAAACAGGAATAAAAGGCTCAATACTTTTTTTTTTTTTTCTTCTAGTACTAGGAATTGAACCCAGGGCCTCATGAATGCTAGGCAAGAACTCTTAACACTGAATTACATCCCCAGCCCAAGCTCAATGCTTTAACTCTAGTCTTTGCCAAGTAGAGAAATCCACCTATGTAGTAGAAAGTGGTATTTAAGTGTTGCTTTTTTTTTGACAATTAAAAAGTATTTTTAATTAACATTACTTCCTACGATTTCTTTCTTTATTTTTGATTTGTTCTTTTTAGTTATATATGACAGTAGAATGTATTTTGACATATTGTAGATGGAATATAACTTTCCATTTTTGTGGTTGTACATGATGCAGAGTTATACTGGTAGTGTATCATATAAGAACATAGAAAAGTTATGTCCGAGTCATTCTACTGTCTTTTTTGGAGCTGCTTCTTGATATGGAAAATAGTAGGAAAAGAGTCATGGAATTTCTGAAACCTCTCCTGACCTGCCACTCACCTGGTGTCTCTTGATAATGTCCTTTAATTTCCCCAGCAATTTAGGCTCAATTTCTGGGCACAGAAAAATGTTAGGTCGAGACAGGCAATTATTCTGTGGGATGAAGAAATAGATGAGATGAGGTTATGCGGAAGGAGTCCTTTGGATTCTCACTGAGGGAAGATGATGCATGGGGAAGGTTCGTGAGTATTACCTGTACCAAAGACTTCTCAATGGTCATGAACATTTCTACATTGCGGTCCATGCGTGATGGATTCTGGAAATCGTAACGCCGCCTTGTGAAGAGACAATAATCTAGTGAGTGATATAGCTCATGTCTGGGGATAAGGTGAGGGTATGTAACTCCTTAACATGGGAAATTAGTAGGTACTCTTGGTCACAGATGTTGCCAAAAGAACCCGAGATCTGGGATTCCTGATCTCAACTCCATAAATCCTTCTATACTTAGTCTAAAAGAGTGAAGAAAAGCTTGAGATACCAACCTAAGAATCTCTCTTTCTCTATAACATACATGCTGAGATACACACATAGACACACCCACATTCACTCTTGGAATCTCTTTTTGCTCTGGCTCCCAACTATTTTTCTGACTGATCTAACAAAATAAGAGACACACAGCATTTCTACCTATGTTCCCCCACCCCAGAAAGACCCCAGGGAATTGAAATAGGAGTTTCTCTTTAATCTAAATATAAGAAGCATAGAGATAAGGCATCTTACCATCCCTGGTCACTCTTGAATTTGTAGGCAGCTGCAAGTATGTGGCATAAGGAGCCTCCTGCTTTGAAATCTAGGAAACATTTGATCTATAAAATCCAGACAGGGAAGAAGTATATGAGAGTTAAATTGTAAATTCTCTTTATCACTTAAAAATCCTTTCTCAAAATCCCATGTTGAGGGCTGAGGTTGTGGCTCAATGGTGGAGCACCTGCCTAGTACATGTGAGGTACTGGGTTCAATTATTTTTATGTCAGTACCACATAAAAAATAAAATAAAGGTATGGTGTCACCATGTGGACACCATCAACAACTAAAAAATATTTTAAAAAATTCATGTTGAACTGATCTCCCTCTTAAAGCTGGAATTATTTAACCCTTGAGACAATATAAAGGGTTATATGGCCTAGAAGAGAAAGAAACCAATGTATACAAAGCACCACCTTGTGCCAACCACTTTACTGGGTTACCTCATTTACTATTGCAGAAATCCTATAAGTAAGTATATTAATTCCATCTAGAGATGAAGGAACCAAGACACACAAAGGTTGCTCAAGATCACTGAGCCATCAAATGGCAAAGCCAAGATTTGAACACAAACCTGTGCAAATTTCAATCTTAAACCCTTTTAACTATATCAAGAGATGCAAGGTAACTTGTTACACAACTATTACTAAGGGAATGGTAAACTGGGGACAAGGCCAAACCACCATACCCTGACCAAGGATAGAGACTGTAATAGGTAACAACCCCAATTTTAAAAATAATGAAAATTTCAAATATTTTTACAAATACAATTCCCTCTCCTATTTGGAGGGCTGATCTCCTTGTTTTTGCACTCACCGGCAGTTTAGTGAGCGGTGCATTGCTGACATGTTTGCCAAAAACTTCTTCCTGAAATTGTAGCAACTGTACGACCAGACTAGACAGGGACTTGTTAGTAGGTGGTTCAGCTTGTATATACTGGGAAAAGGCAGAGAAAGGAAAGAAAAATAGACCCAGATAATGGTTTATCATCTCCCATATTTCTTCCCCAGGGGCTCTGGAAGACTCTGGGGCATAGAAAATGGTGTCTTTCTCTTCCAAAGAATATGGTAGAAAGGAGACCCTAGAAACCTTTAACCAGAAAACTGGATTCTGCTGCTACTAGCCTAGGCTGCCAGGATTGGATGCTGACAGTAAGGAAAGTGTCCTACTCTTCCTCAGCTACACCCTGAAATTGGAGTTGCAGGATCCTGTTATCTTGGCATCTGATCTCCAGCCAACAGCACAGAGGGTTGTAAAATTCTAAAACTATTAAGTTCAGGCCAGAGAAGCAACACCCCTTAGATGCTCTAAGTGAGGACAACAGTGTATTTCTTAGGGGAACTTTGAGAATGCAACAATTACCCTTACCATGTAGTCTAAAGAAAAAGAAGCAAGGAAGTAAGGTAGGTCAAGCTGAGTGAGCTTGTGCATTCTGCTTCTGCTAGACCTGGGCATAAATGTCTTCCTAGGCCCTCCTAGCTGGGAAGGACTATCTACTCCCAAGCCTGATGAGGAGATGTCTATCCTGAGGAAGCTATATCCAAGACAAGCAACCTTGGGCCTTCTTAAAAACTTCCCTATCATACTACATAGCATCCTAGCCTTCTGTTCTAATTTAAAACTCAGGAGACTTTCTCTTTACCTATTGACCCTTGTTTCCACTGAGAAAAGGACACCTCTCAGTGGGAGGTATAAAAAGATCTGTAAAGGGAAAGGTAAATGACAAAGAGCTAAAAACATGAAAGATGAACCAGGTCACAAGCTTTCAATCCCCCCAGGGCTGAGTCTAAACCCCTAGACTGATTGATCTCCCTTCAAAAGGTTAAAGGTTTCAGAAGTCTGGGAACTAGAGCCTCACATTGGGGTACAGACAAGCCACAGCCTGGCAGCTGTTTGTCAGGATTCTGACTCCAGCGAAACCTGGAGGGATATCAGGGGCAGGCTCATAACCAGGATTAGTGTGGAGTTCTCCTAAATCACCCATCACACTTCTGACAGGCAACAAAGCTGGGCAGTAAGAATTGGGGAGCTGAAAAAAGCTAGGAAAAAGAACCCATAACTGGGGACAGTGAGAAGGAAGACAGGCAGGCCATCTACAGAAAAAATCGGGCTTAGACACAAAGAAGGCATCAGGAAGAGGCCTGGTAGAAGACAGGTAAGGTTTCTTAAGCTTTTTTTTTTGTTCACTACTTCATTATCCCCAGTTATGGGGTGGGGGCTGGAGATATAAAGCTTATCTGTGCCTCTGGACCCTAAACCCAAAGCAATGCAAATCTAGGCTGCCGGTGACTTCTTTGTGAAGCCTAGGACTGGTCTTAGAAGGGACCACTGCCCAGAAACTCGGTACCCCTCCCCCTGGGAGGTTTTGTTGCCCTTTAGATGGAGGCGAGGTGGGTGATGAGCCATGGAGACAGGTGATACCCGGGTAGAGACCCTTTCGGCCTGCTCTGTGGCTGTTTACCCTCCTGCTTTCATCATCTCTCTCAGAACATACACAAAGCACCAGGGAGGCCTAAGCCCCGCTGGTACCTGGCTCCGTAGGGAGCCCTGGCGGGCGCAGTGGCGGGTACACTGGAGAGGAGGGGGAAGGCGCCCATTCGGCACCTCGTCCACCCCCGGCCCGCAGTCTCTCTCGGGAAAGCCGTGAAGGCGATGGCTTAAGGGAGGGTGGGCTGCAGGCATCCGACAGTGGAGAAAAACAGGGACAGAGGGCACAGCGGTGGGGGCGGGGGTGGGGGCGGGGAGGGGCGCGGGCGCGCCAGAGGACACGCTGGGGGCTGCCAGGGAGGCCGCTGGGAGGGGCCGGGGCGGCTGGAGGGTGGGCAGGACCCCGGGGAGCCGCGGGCCGCGCTCCCTTTGTCCCGCCCCCGGCCCTCGCGCGGCCCTGCCCGCGTACCTTCTTGTAGTTCTTGCCGAGCCAGAGCCGCACGTTGTCGAACTGGGTCACCGTGTCCGCGGCCTCGTAGTACTTCACGTTGGGGCCGCCGTCCTTCTTCCGCACCGCCATCTTCTCGGGCTCGGGCCCCGCCGCCGCCGCCGCCCGCCCCGCTCAGCTCCCGCCTCCTCCGCCTCCTCCTCCGCCCGCCTCCCGCCGCCTCCCGCCGCCGCGGCCGCCGCCTCCCGCCGCCTGGGCCGGCCCCGGCCCGCGTAGCGCCCCCTGCCGGCAGTCCCGGCGCGGCGGCGGCGGTGGCCCAGCGCCCCGCGCGGCGCAGACCCTGTCGGCCTCCCCGGTGCCTGCCTCCGGGGAGGCGGCTGCTTCCTGGTGGGGGCGCCACTTTCTTGAGAGCGCCCTTTACCCGCCGGGAAGAGCCCTTTCCCTCTTTTTTTGCCTTTCATCCCGGAGTGTGTTAGTCCTCTATCCTAAGTAAGGGAGGAAGCCCGTCGCCTGAAGAGGCCCCAACCTATAACCCGGAGTGGTCTTCACTTGGCACAGTCCTAACCTCACGAAGGAGCTTTTATCCCGAAGAACTCCAAACCCCTTTCCCCGAGAAATTCCTTCCCTGCATGCATTACCAAGTGCTGCTTACTCCCTCGTCTCCCTCACCCGCCACGCCTGTTCCACTCAGTCCCTACCACTTCTTAACCCGAGAAGTCCCCTTAGCCGCCACCGTGAGGGCCCAGACGCTTTCATCAATTGCTTGGTTCGAAGGCCTTGCCATCGATTCTAAGACACCCCCTCATCCACCCACACAAGCAGGAGACTCCCGCCGGGTCAGCCGGTGCACCCGACTCTTTTCCTTTGAGTGGCATAGCGGAGAGGTAAGGAGCGAGGCGGGGTAGTCTCAAGGTGTGTGTATGTGGGCCGCGGCCGGGCTTCCCACGGCCCCGCGCCGTCCGCGATCTCCGTGCGGACCCTTTCTGTAAGCGCGCAGCAAAGCGCGATTTTGGGAGTCACGGTGGCCGAGTGGTTAAGGCGTTGGACTCGAAATCCAATGGGGTTTCCCCGCACAGGTTCGAATCCTGTTCGTGACGGTGGCTTTTTTTTCGCCTCCATCTTCATAGCATATAAGAGGAACCCCTGTACTCGCACGTGTCTTTCCCGTACTTCCCTTTCCGTCTCCATAAAGGGAGGCTAAAGGTCACATCTCTGCACTTGGGGAGGACTGGGGTGGTCCCAGATCTCGGAAAGCTTAATTATGCAGAGCTGTATTGGCTGCTAGGATACCAGACCCTCAGAATTCTGTAACTTATGATTTGCTAGCAGATGTTGACACACGTTCCATTCTTTTGAAGGATGGGGAAGGATTTGAGTGAAGAAGAGTTGAATTTTTTCAGGGAATGTGAGCTTGTGCAATAATCATCAAACCTGGAATTTCTAGGAAAATAGAGCATCTCTGAATTATTTCTTCCTTCCTTCCTTCCTCCTTCTTTCCTTCCTTCCTTCCTTCTCCTTTCTTTCCTTCCTTTTTTTTTTTTGGTACCAGGGATTGAACTCAGGGGCACTCGACCACTGAGCCACATCCCCAGCCCTATTTTGTATTTTTTTTTTTTTTTTTTTTTTGGAGACAGGGTCTCTTGAGTTGCTTAAGGGCCTCACCAAGTTGCTTAGGCTGGCTTTGATCCTCCTGTCTCAGCCTCTGGAGCCGCTGGGATTGCTGGGATTACAGGCGTGGGCCAGGCCGGCTACACCTCTGAATTTTGTAACTGGAAGTAACACCTTCAAAGTCTGAGGCCACTGAAGACCCAAGAAAGAGGGCATTTTCATTAGGATTTTCTTGAGGCGGACATAGGAAGGGGCCTATTGGAACATAAACACTGCAGATCCAGCTGGAGCCAGGGAGTTGGAAAATAATTTTATTTTTTATAAAGTGCTTGTTGTGTACCAGGTACTGTTCTCTGTGTTAACCAAACTAGGGAATTCATCTGTTCTTATGCTCTCCTTTACTCAACATCACTTAGTTCTTAATCTAAGATACTTGTTTTTGTACTTCATTTCTTGTGCAGTGCATCTTCTCCAAAAAGGATCACAAGAGCAGGCAATTCAGGGTAAGTCAGAGCTTTGTGCACATTTATATCTTAAGAGTTTTTCACCCTCATACCACTACTCAGCTGAACTTCCCAGCATCACTCTCACCACTCCAAAATCCTGCATATCCTTTGGGCTCTCCTCCTTGATGCTCTAGATCACTCCAGCTGGAACCTAACAGTCTGTCAACTACCATTCACTGAGTATGATGCAAGGAATATCTTAACATGCTTCCACAAAATTAAGAACAAGTTCTGTTTATTTTGCTTTCTAAATATGTTTCTCTAAGGTGAGTTTCAGGTTGGGCCCACCACTTAGCAAAGCTTTCAATTGGGAAGTAGTGGTACTTGTGAGCCATACTAAAGTAATCACTCTGCAGCTGACCTTAAGTCTTGCCATGGCTGTTTTTTTGTGTTGCATGATCTGACCCTTTTCTCTCAACAGTCTTCCATTTTATTTTTTATTTATTTTTGCGGTTGCAGGCTTTGAACCTACAGATGCTTTATCACTGAGCCACATCCCCAGCCCTTTAATATTTTTGGTACAGGATCTCCAACTTGGCTCAGCATCCCAAGTCACTAGTATTTCAGGCATGTGCCCCTGTGCCCAGAGTCAATCTTCACAGCCACCAGCATTCTTTTAGTTTCCTAGTATAGTTATTTGACCTTGTTCATATGCTGTTCTCTGCTTTAAATAACCTTCTCATCCTCATCTACTCAGTATCCATCTAAGTGTTGGTTCTCTTGGAAAGTCTCTGACCACCTGTTGCTGCACACATCCTTCTCCCTAATCTTATATGAAGTCTTTCTTCCTCTGTAGAATATAAACTCTTGACACAAATAAGCCACTCAGTATACACATTTTAATCTTGTTTGGCTTTATTTTATTTATTTTTTTTTCTTTTTGGGGGTGAGTGGGCGGGAAGGGATTGAACCCTGGGCATTTTACCACTGAGTTACAACCTCAGCCCTTTTTATTTGTAATTTTGACAGTGTCTCACTAAGTTGCTTGGGCCTTGCTAAATTGCTGAAGCTGGCCTGGAACTTGCAATCCTCCTGCCTCAGCCTCCTGAGTTCACAGGAGTTCACCACCATGCCTGACCAAATTGGTGTTTTTTTACAGTAATGTAAAAATTTCTTGAGACTTAGGAAAACAGTGTATTTTGTTTCTTTGCAAGAAAATACTTCATACACAGATGTGATCAAACATGTAATGAAATAATAGAATCTAATAGGCTCAGTTTTCCACTTCCTGCCAAGTCCCATTTTGGATATACCTTCAGGCTTAAATATCTGGAGAGCCAAAATCAAAATTGACCAGCAGAGGGCAACCAATAACCATGTTGTGAAGGGAAGAAGGCTTCAAGATTTACAAAATGGAGGCTCTAGACCAGGAAGGGGACTGTGGCAGAGGTGGCTGAATACTTGATCTTTTTCCCTTCTCAAATTTATTTTCCCTATAACTTCTGAGGGTGAGGGTTTGTAACCTTCATGTACAATAGATAACTTGAAATTTCTACCATCTCTGTAGGCCACCCCAACTTCTCAGTTCCTTCACCCTTTTCCTTCTAGCCCAGCAAGTCCTATCTATCCGTTTTATATTGTATGACCTGATCCACTCCCCAAACCATTTTTACATATTTATATTCCACCCAGTGCTTTAGTTCCTGCTCTAGTATTTGACCTTGCTTATCTTCCCTGAAGTTGCCTTCTCTACTAGGCTTACCATCCCACTCATTTCAGCCTCCTAAAGAACCTTCCATAAATATTTTTGCATCACCTTCAAATTCTCATACTCCAGGTAACCATTCCTTCATGAATTCATGACAGAGAAAATCCTACATTCGACAATTTCAAATCACCAAATTGTTTTGTACTTTTTTTCAGATAAAATACCGACTTCCTGCCAAAGTCCCTAGTACGTTCATCCCTTGTCATCTGGTTTCTGCCTCCCAAAGTTATTTTAGACATTAATAGAAACCATTGGACAGATATGTATATGTGTGAGAGAGAGAGAGATAAAGAGAGAGAGAGAAATGCAGGAGATTGAACCCAGGGCATTCTACCACTGAGCTATACCCCCAGACCCTTTTTTAAAAAATTTTGAGATAGGGTCTTGCTGAGTTGCAGAGGCTGGCCTTGAAATTGTGATCCTCCTGTCTCAGCTTTCCAACTTGCTGGGATTGCAGATATGTGCTACCACACTAGGCCAGAGCTAATACCACTGTATAGGGATATTTTCAAGTATAAATTCTTAAGATTGGGGCTGGGTCTGGGCTCAGCAACAGAGTGCTTGCCTCACATATGTGAGGCACTGGGTTCTATCCTAAGCACCACATAAAAAATATATTTTATCCATCTACAACTAAAAATATTTTTAAAAATTCTTAGATTGTAATCAAAATTGCTTTCCAGCATTAAAAAAAAAAATAAGCTGCTAATGAGGGAAAATCTCACGTGCAATTGTTTAATATTGTGCTCTTCCAAGTTGTTGACTTACTCTAAATTTTAAAAGGCTTGGATAAACCCCTGAAGTTTATCCTATAAAGCAAATAATTAGGACTTGAGTGGAAATGATCTCAACCTACAGTTGTTTCAGGGATGTTGCAATGACAGAAAACATTTCTGAAATTCCTTCCCAGCCTAGTTTATGAGCTATCTTAAAATGATTCATTACTTCAGAATTATTTTTTAAAAATTAGTCAACCTTATCATGCATCGCCTGTTTTGTTCCAGATGACTGCTGGGATTCCTAGTACTAGAATTTCTTGATCTCCTCTGGGCAGATAATTCCCCAATTCATGTCCTTAGCTCTAAAACTCCAGATCCATTTCCTGACTAAACACATTTTCAAACCCAGTTCTCCAAATTAACTCAAAACTACTCATCCTCTTCTCCCTATTCAGGTTAATGACACCGTGTTCTCAGCAACATATACTAGAAACCTGTCTTTTATCTTTGACTCATTTTTGTTTATGTGTAATAGTTAGAGGCTCAGGTTCTAGAATGATTTTTCTGGGCTCAAATCCTAGTTTTGATTATTAACTCTGTGAACTTTGCCTTCTGCTTCAGTTTCCCTACATAAAAAATGGAGTTGATGATAAAACCTCTTAATTAAAAAGTTGTTGGGCCAGGGACATGTCTACAGCCTCAGCTACTTGGAGTTTGAGGCAGGATGGTGGCAAATTGAGGCTAGCCTTGGCGATTTAGTAAGACTGTCTCAAAATGGGATTGTACCTTCAGTGGTAGAGTGCTCCAGGTTCAATCCCCAGTATGGAGCAGTATGGAGCAGCAACCCAGTATGGGTGGGTTAGTGGGATTATTAAATTAATATCTAATATTTAGAACAATGCCTGTCTCACAGTAAATGCTCAATCTGCCCACTACCCCTTTTCTTTAATGCCAAATGTGACTGGTTCAGAATTCAGCTCATGATTCCAGAGAAGCCTTCCCCTTCACGTCCTTCAAATAGACAGGGACTAAATATAACAGGACAAGAAAGGAGTCATCTATCTATTAGCAACATACTATACTGCATTTCTCATTGTTTAAGTTTACATTACCTAGTAAGCTGCAAATTACATCTTATTTTTCAATTATTTACATACTTCAAATGCCTGGCACCATGTCACCAGTTTCATTGTTGGGCTGAGAAAAATCTAATCAGTTAAGACCTTATTTATTTTTCTTCCCAAATGTATCTTGTCCCTTCTTTCCTGCTATATTTCAAGGGCTTATCCTCTCTGCATAAATTACTGGAAAGCTTGTTAATATTGCTGACACCAATTTGTTTT